AATGATTCCTTGTTCTGCCCATTGTCTAAATTTAAAGCCTTGAGATGAATGTTGTTCAGCACTTTTTTCATCGGGGAATGTGTATTATCAAACAAGAAAGGAAGCTAGCATTCACTTTACAAAAACTGTATTAATTACTCTGGCAGATGCTGTCTGTATGCCTGTTTCATCTGTATGTTCATTGAACATCGTTTGCAGTAGTTGCTGGAATTTCCCTGTCAAATTTATCTTAGAGCCCTTGTATTCTACTGAATTTTCATCAAAATGTCTGAGGACCAGTTCCCTAGCCAAATTACAGAAACAGTGATATGATTCTCAAATCACTGATTAATTTCTTCTGATTGAAATCCCTTTTCTTCTGAGAGCATTTTCGCTTTCACTTGTAGAGTCATCATCACATTTCCTCTGAGTTTTCTGTGAAGGTTCTATGATTTGGTTTGCACGCCCACATTCAACTTCTCTATCCATGTGGACGGCTCACGTCTGACTCATGAGACATTTTTTTCTTTGAATGGAGTAATGTTAGAGTATGGGCTTATTTGTATCACTGTACATACATGGCTCACTAGTGTTTTAGGAATATTCAATATATGCTTCATTGTCCTTTGTCTCTTGCTGACAATCTTGCACCTTTGATTTGTAGTGTTACTGTTTTCCTGTCTCTCAGAAGCATTGATTCTATTTTATTTTTATCTTAGATCTCTCTCTAGCCTCTTACTTCATTGCTTTTTAAAAAAGAGTATAGACTATTTTTCTTTTATAGAAACTTCTAAAATACAGCCCTAGTCCTGGATTTATACCACTAAAAAACTCTTCTGGGCTTTTACATCACACAGTTCATTTTAAGCAAAACCTTTTTTTCCTGTTGCTTTTTCTTGCCTATGTTCGTTGAAAATACTGTTGTGACTCTGACTCATCTGGTCTACCTTTTTGATTGCATCACTCTGCTGGGTATATTGTTTTATTTCTCATACACTGTTAAGATTTGCAGTGATTGCACTCAGTGACAAGACTGTGTGCTTGGCAAATGAGCGACTTGTCCATAGGAATGTATCAGTTAAATGTCATGACCATGGAAGAAGATAAATTGTAGTGAAAAATCCACTAAAACACACAGCATCTCACACTGCACAAGATCCCCCAAAGACAGTACAGGAAACACAGAAGCCCAGATTCTGGTCATATATAAAGATGCAGTTGAGGAAATCCTCAAGTAAAATAGCAGGTGCTTCACTCATGGTTTTCAACTGACCTAAATCCTGCTCTTGTTTTTTGGTTCTTATGCTTATTTTCTTCTTTCTGTCACTTGTGAGAAGAGAAAGAATGGAAGAATGTCAGAATGGTTGTCTTCTGTTGTGACATCTCTTGAAAAAAGCTGAAGTAATTTTTCCCCTCTTAAGAAGGAAAGAAAACTGAACAGCTTTTCATCCTTCCATTCTGACACTCTACAGGCGCTGCCCTACCATGCTTCAGTGATACCAGTGAGGTTATAGCCCTGAAAGTGTGAGCACATCTCCAGTTCTTCCTGTTTACTCCCCTGCTATCTGCAGCTATGTAGAGTCATTTCAGTGGGCTCCCAGCAAGGCTGACTCTGTGTCTGGGGTGACTGAAATTCCCTGGTGTTCTTTCAGGTGTTCTCCTGCTGACCTGCCTGCCTACCCCAGGCTGTGGGCATCTCAGTGGTGTGTGTGGATGGCATCTCATCCCACAGCTTATCATTGTTAAACCTGATGATATCCCCCACCTCAGTTATGTCTAGTTTATGATATAGTTAATTTCAATTTGTTCTGGGGAGTCATTAGAAACATGGCTAGTTATAAAAAGGAAAATATCAGTCATGTATTTTTCATAATTTTTTATTATGTGCTCCCATGACACAGATGTGTTTAAACTCACTTAAAAGAAATAGGTTAAAACGTTTTCTGATGACAGCTTGTATTTGCGTACATACCTAGCTTCTTAATGGTAGAGTACAAGTTTTTCTGTAGTAATTCAGTTATTACATAAAATATTATGATCTACAGGTTAGTTTGCTTTCTAGTGAAATTGGTGTTATATAAAATAAGTGAGAAATCATGCTGCCATTTTCTTGATGTCTCTGAAACTAATTAATTTGAGCTGAAATGAAACTGAATCAGCTAATATGCTTTAGTGGCTGTGTTGTGTATGCTAGTAAGTGTAGTACTCCATATTGCTCTCTATAGCATCACTGGAGCAGAATTCCTAATACCTTTCCAGTGTCTAGATCAGATTGCTTAGTCTGATAGTCACATGTCTTACAACTTTGAAACTTTTGTCATGACTACATATTTGGCATGTTTGTTCTGTTTGGTGACATGATTTCTGTTGGAATGAGCACTGTGTGCAATTGTAATGAACTTTCTGAGTGAAGAGTGCCTCTGTTCTCTGCTAGGTTCCTTCAGAAATTTTAAGTTACCTAATACCCTGAAATAATTCTTTCAACTACTAAATCCTTTGTTGAATTGAGAGTGTCTTGACTAAGAGGTTCAAAATTTGGGGCTGGGGAGAGATCACTGAAAGATAGCTGTGATGTGCATTTGCTTTTGTTTTGTAAATCAGACTTAAAATAACACTCTGATTTAACTAGTAAGATATTACACACGCATGTACATAAATACATTTTAAAATAAGTAGATGGCATCTTCTGGGTTGCAGTTCTACACTAGTTCAGAAAAAAAGATATACTTAATGTGCATTAAAAAATCCCTTTATACTGATTTTTATAATATTCTGAGTGAAAAACAGGTTTCCTGCAAGATCAGACAGTTCCTTCTAAGGCACACTGCAGCTGGAAAATGGCAAAAAAAGTCAGCAGAAGACCACTTTTGTAGCTCTTTAGCTGTATCTAGGTTGCCCTAAAATACTTGAATGGAATAAATAAACTCAGTACTGACTGCAGTTGTGTTTTGTCATATGTTTGGTTAGGCCTGCTGTGCAAATTCTGAGTCTTCATTGCTGTAAGATATAGACTAGTTTCAATATGTCAGGGGAAAGAACTGTAGAAATGCTAAATACTGTTTATAAATGTGCTATAGTTGGAACAGGATGTGCTACATTTTGAACAAAGCCAAAGCTTATCCCTTAAATCCACATTTCAATAGTCACTCTATTTAATGCAGAAGTTTGTCTTTGTATGTCGTTCAGTGGTGCTTATCAAAGTTGTCCCAGGCCTTGAGCCTGATATTTTGAGTGAAAAAAGCCCCCTGTTGTTAATGTGTTTTTGTAAATGAGAAATTGGTGAATGTAGGACCTTACTTGTAGTTTGATGTTGTTGCTAGATAAGCAGGCTGTTAGTGTCCACTAGAACGGGAGCTCTTGAATTTTGGTTGTGGGAAGTGAAGTAGAGTTTGTACATCTTTTGCTAACTTATTTTTTCCTGTTATGTAAGAAGTATACAAATAATTGGTGTTAAATCTCCTGGCTCACTTCTGAAGAGATGTGTGGAGTGGATTATTCCACAACCAGCATGCAAGCTAATGTAGACTTTGTGTCTTAGTTGTTAATGAAGTTTTTTTGGTTTTGTTTGGTTGGTTGGTTGATTTTTTTTGAGTATTTTTGGTTTTTCCTTTTTTTGTGTAAGCAGTTTAATTCAGCAGCATCATAAGAATAAAAATCAGGTTTCAGCACAGAGTTGTTTTACTAAAATTAAATTACTTAGTGTATGATAATATTGAGTCCGATAAAATGTATAAAAATGTTATTGATGGGTAAGTGGGCACCCTGTTAATGAGTATTTCTGTGACAGATGCACTCCCTATCAGAGTTCTCACAATTTGGCTGGTTTTTGCACTCTTTTATTCAATAGCGTACAAATTAAGGCAAATTGCAGACTTCTGCTAAAAAATAAATAGTGTTATTTTGCTAAGAGAGCACTTAACCTGTATCTTGTAAAATAAACTCTATTTGGAAATAATTTTCAAAGACTGCTAAATTTGGTGTGCAGATTTGTTGCTTGTTTGGAAATCTTGGAATAAACTGAAGCTGCATTTCTTACATTATGAGATCTATGGTTTCTTCTCTCAAAGGTGTACATTGGAAACTTGGAAGCAATTTTTCTTTGTAACACTGGCAGTTGTAGTCTGTCTTCATTGTCAGTTTTTTACAGTTTTGAGTTAACCTAAAGCATGAGGTTGTTAATGTGTGATTTTTCTGCTTCAAGTTTATATACCTTATGAGTACTCATTGAAGTATCTTTGTCATTTCTGAAGGTGATTTACAAGTAATAAACTAAGTTTATCCATATTGAAAATACTTTTTTTTTACAGGTTGTTATTACTTTGAGAGCTGATAGTAGAGATGAAGAAAAATAGAGTCTTTGGACTAAGTCAGCTTTTGAGACTTTGGAATTTATATTGATTTCTGCTGAACTAGAGATGCTTAAAGGCTGTTTCAGTGTTCCAGTCAGAACCCTCTTCTTGCAGAATTTTAAATTCAGGCAGTGGCTTGTCAGAAGTGACAGTGGCGCTTATGGTTTACAGTAATATCAGAAGAGAAATGGCTCCTATTACTTGCACCGATGGATGCTAATATTTACAGGTAGTCTGTTGTTAGAGAAGGACCTGTTAATAAAGGGAAAAAATCTAAAAACCTATTAAGTAAGGATAATGCACATACATAGAGTTTTTTACTGTGTGGGGATTTTTATTACATATTTTCAAATCATTGTCCCTTTAAAATTTCAGGTATTTCAGGAGAACTGAGACTTATGTCTCTTGTTTTTGGAGTAAAAAAGAATTTCAGTTTTCTTTATAGTCCAAATATTTGCACAGAATATTTTAGGAAATATAGAATTTGTAAGTGGTTAAATTGATCTCTGCTTAATCCTGCTGATTTTGACACTTTCTGTCTTGTATCAATAGCAGTTCAGCCCATATCTTTTATTTAAGTGAAATTCAGGATTCTATATTGTACATTCTCCAATAAATTAATGATCCTACAGATTTGCCTTTTTTCACTAAAGATTATGGCCTTTCTCCTAGGACAAGAAGGATAAAGTGTCAAGGTTTGACACTATACGTCATTCCATAGCTGGAATTATAAGGTCTCCAAAATCCATGTTGGGTTCATCATCGGTAAGTAGTACCAATACTGTAGTGTTGTGATATTGTTTTTTCAGCTTAAATAAGATTTCTTTTTCCTTTAAACATCATGCATTTTCATCTGAATGGACAAAAATGACATTAAAACAATGTTATATATACATTGTTCTGACTGATCAGCATACAGGATAATATCATGGTATAGTGGTGTGTCAGAACAACTTGCCACACTTCAGGAGAATCACATTTTGTATGTTCTTTGCAGCTTCCGGAGTGGTGCTATATCGTTCACAGTATTCTTCCTGATGAAGCTGATTTTCTTGAAATGCACTGTATGATAATAATCTCTATTAGGTTAGATGTTTTACCAATTGTTTTACCAATTGTTGCAGTAATTGTATTACCCGTATTTTTTAAAAAAAAGCTCCAGTGTACAAGCATATTGTTACTTATTGCTACTACTCCTGTACTGTATAAGTTACTTGAAGTAATCTTGCTTAAAACCCTACTAAAAATGGTTGTTGAGTATCTCTGAGATATAGTTTGCTTTTGTTGAAATTCTGTAATTGCTGGACAGATGTCCTTGTTTGTTTTACTTTTGTATTTACTTCTGTTTGTTTCATGTGGAAGCTTGCAAGTTTAGTTAGAAGCCTTGAGCCTCTACTTGTGGATGTATGAGATTGTACTTGAAAACTTGAAAGCCTTCTGCCTTTTTCTTGAATATGTGATCACCATAACCCTCCCAACTAAAAATAAAACAAAAACCGCAACTCAAAAATCAAACAAATGGGGAAAAAAACCTGGAAGAAATTTGGGTGAAGTTTTAAAATTCGTTTAAAATTGCCTTTTAATTGTGATCTTGTCACCTAAAATACAAGCTCAAAGTAGCATTCTTGAGAAAACTTCAGAAGTAATGGGTCTTCTATTTTATGCTGCAGGATTGCATCCAAGGACCCATTAAAGGGCACAGCAAACCATATTTAAGCTAGATAGTATTCAGACGGGGTGGAAGAGATAAAAATTACATATGTGTAAATACACATGTTGTATGGAGAGGACAACTGTACATAGTGATGAAGGAATGGAAATATAAATATAATAATAGATAAAATTAGGGTAGAAAGGCTTTTCCTCTGAAAAACATAAAAGTTGTATGGCATTTGAAAAGTAATAGGAAAAACCTTGCTAAAATATTAAAATATCCTTGATGTTAAACAAAATCTCCACATTATTGTGATCTTCATTTTATTAAAGTTCTAGTTGTGGTAAAAATGCAGCATTTAATATTAAAAACTGATTAAAATGTGTATTTCTGTGACCTCTGTTCTTTATGTAGGTGAGACAAAGTGTTCATCTCTGTTTCTATGTATTACAAAACTTATGACTTCAAAACAAACCAAAAAACTTCCACAAACCACAGAAAAAACTTATCTGAAACTGCTTCAGAGAAAATTTGGAAGATAAAAAAAATCCTGAGATTAAAAAAAAACTTAAAAAAAAAATCTTGAAATAAAATGCTTAGATTAAATCAGGGAAAGTCGATGTCAAAATGTCAATTGGCTTAAAGTGTCATTTTAAATAGTCTATGTGCCACACTCCAATTTAATTCCATGTAAGGTGATGTAAATCTGGCTCTAGTGCGTGATAGATAGGATTGGTGAAACCTTGGAATATATTTGGAAGAACTAAGATTGGTGTTGGTTCATGTGAGTCAGAAAGTAAAATCTAGTAACAAGTGCAATCTTGATTACCTGTTTCTTAAATGACACTTAAATTACTTCAGTTACAATGTATAAATTTCAGCCAATTTTCACTTTTACTTTGTATTTTGATTTAGCGGCTTTGTGTATGTTACAAAAGCTGACCAGGGTGTACAGCTCAAATTTGCTTCATGACTTAGCTATTAAATGTGGTCAGCTATTTCCTTCTGACAACTACATAAGCATGTTTAATTGCTAAATATATAAACTGGTACATAAAACTTATTATCCATCAACAAAGCATTCAAAATTATTACTGAATGTGTATTTAAAGTAATACTAACATCCATTAAAAAAAAAATATATTTTTAAATGGACCAGTACAAAAAGGATGTCAAAGCAGATTTGCAAAAGGACTGGTACTGATCTTCTCATATAGTCTAGTCTAAAATGATCCTACCTACCTGTTTTCAAATTATTGATTTGGAGCATTTAAAGTTTTTAAAGTATTTCTAAGTATTCAATTTTTAAATATATTAAAACTTTAGAAATGGAACAATATAATGATTTAAATGTAGTGCTACATTATAAACACTGTCCAGTATTTTTAATTGGTGAAATAAATTGAATTTCGTTTGTATAAATTTGAGAGGACTAATTTTTTGTGTGTTATCTGGAAAAAGTCATAGGGAAACTGTGCCATTGTAAAAGCAGACAGGAGTTTTTTGTGTGTTGACATTGAAATTCTGTATGTGCTCTCAGAATGAGAGGGTAATACAGGAAAAAAATGTTGTTTGAAGAGAAAGAAACAAGGTGAAGGATTCAGATAGTTTTTGGACAAAATACAAGCCAATTTTCTATAACAGCAAGAGATGTAACTTAAATGAAATGAGGAAACACAACAGTGGGGGTATCTTTCATGTACCAGTAATGAAATGCTGTGAATAATCTGAATGAAGAGTCTGAACAAATTGCATCATGAATGCCAGCTTCTGCCCTTCTGCATATTTTTTTAATATGAAACATTTGAGCTTGACAGAAACATCTGCTTTTATTTATAGGAATTTTTTTTTACTGTTTATAGGATAGTAGGTGGAATTACTGCTTGTTTCAGATGGTGTACTATTAGCATGTGGGCATGAGCCAGGTACACAGAGACTAAATATTCCATAGGGTATTGTCTCCAATTAACAACTTAAATTTATTGCTTTACATTCTTATTTGTGTCAGTGCTACTCTTTTACTCCGTGAGAGAAAAAATATCTTGAGAAAATGTTTTGTTTGCTCAAACAGGGGAAATAAGAGATTACTGAACATTTGCATTCAGAATACACACAAAAATAGAATATTTAGCATGCTGTTAGTGCAATAAAATATCATCCCCATTATTATTTTTATTTAATTCTTGGTGCAAGTGCAGGAATAATATACATTTTTTTGAGTAGAAATAACACACTGCTGTTTGCTCAGTTTTTTTCTTGAAATAAGGGAAGCAGCAGAGGACTGCTTCTTTTTACTGTTGGAGAAGAGCCTATATTTTAATGGGTTGTTACGCAGGGAGAAAGGAGCTCAATATAAGGAAAGAGGACAACATGATAAAATACATGAGGATTTGATGATGATGAAAACCATGAGAAGCATGGTGAAATACATGAGGCCATCTCCTTGTAGAAGAAAAAGTGTGATTAGATATATAAGAACACACACCCCCCCCCAGCCCCACCCAATAATCCGTGAGTGCATGTCATGGTTTGAGCTTGGCACAGAGCCAGTGCCCCCTATGAAAATGCTTTACTCTGGTGTTTGCTGTGAGATGTGACTAGGAATAAGCAAAATAGGTTCTAACTTAAACATAAAGGACACTTTATTACTTAAACTACAGGAAAAATAGGGAACGACTATAAGGAAAAAGAAGAAAAGAATTGAAAACTTTACAAAAAAAACTATTTTCTTCTTCTCCACTACTTGACTTTCTTAATCTAATACATCTTTTCAAAACACTCGGTACGACACTTTAGTATACTCAAACATCAGTTCATGAAGAGGAAAGGAGTCTTTCTCGTTTTATAGGCTTCTCTTGGAAACACACTGAAACTTTGTGTGTTTCTCTGTTACTTCGGCACTGCTCGGAAAAAAAAAGTCTTTTTGCTGCTTGTAACATCGTCTTTTTATGCTCAGTGCTTTCACTACTGAGATATGGACTAGAGCTGCTTTTAGGGTTGTCTTTCAAGGATGCCTTGTCTCACTCTAAAAAGGCACAGTCTCTGCTTTTGGGACATCTGTCCCCCCCATATTTTTCTAACCCCTTGGGGCCGGGGGGTCTTCACGAAGAACTTTCTTGGTTTTGAGGCACTGCCTCTTCTTAAATGCAGTCTGTGTCACAGGAACAACTGAGTCTATAGCCACGAGAAAAGTCTAGCCAAAAGGCCACTCCAAATCATCTCTC